AAAAAAAAAAGGGGGGGGGGGGGGGGGGGGAAGGTTTCGAGTGGATCGTCGCTGATGCTGGGAGCAGGGCACGTGGAGATTCCCTAGACTCTGATTTTTGTGTATGTTATCATTTTTCCATAATAAAAAGTTCAAAATAAAGGAAAGAGTGATCAAGTCTTCCAAGGGCTGATGAACAGAAGAGCAAGATGAGGACTGAGATGCGGCCCTGAATTTGGCAGGATGGAGGCTGTCAGTGACCTTGATGGTAACAGATTTGGGGTGGGGATGAAAGCCTGGTTGAAACAGGTTCCCATTCTCTCAAAGGAGCGAGGGAATGAAAACAGCGAGGAAAGACAAGCCTTTTGAGGAGTTTTATTATCAAAGAAAGCAAAGAAACAGAGTGGTAGCTGGAGGGGAAAGGGGGAGAGGGAGGGGTGGTTCTTTGTATAAGATGGAGATGTGGGCCGACAGAACGAGGAGGAATACAGGAGAGAGAAGATTACAGGGCTGAGACCTGGAACAGAATAGGAACAACTACCTCCCATATACACACACTTGCACACACACACACATGCACACATGCATAAGCAGAAGGGTGGCCTTTAAGAGAAGTGAAAGCACTCATGGCTCAAGACACATTAGAGGAGGGTGTCTGGCCTTTCCAAAGCCAGGTCACACCCCGTCACCTGAGTGGGTGTCAAACCTTAGGGAGCCGTAGGCCTGGCATGGCCACCTGTGTCTGAGCCATTATCAGCTTACACAGCAGAGGAGGCTCTCTCTCCCTGGAGACTGTGGGGCTCAAGAAAAATGCTTTCAGTGCCACAGTGGGAAAGCATTCCTAACATGCTCCAGACTCAGTGTCTGCAGTCACACAGCCTGGCAGGCCTGGCCATCTGAGCTTAACAAAAATGAGGCCCCAGCCGGGAGCTGGGGAGGCCCTGCTGGCACCAGTGACATTAGTCTTGGCTGAGAAAAGCAAAGCCTCAAGGCAAGAGCAGTGGGCCCAAGTGCAGCCTCCTCCCACACCTTGGGGTCCAGGAGCATGTGGGGGTTAACCCAAGCCTGCTCAGAAGATGCCCATCTTGATGCTGCTCCCTCCCCATGCCCCTGGTGTCACTGTCTGCCTGCTCCTCCTGACCACACACACACACACACACACACACACACACATACATACACTCACGCTTGCTCTTCAACGCCAATGTATACCCCAGGTTAATTCATTTACTCTCCTTACAAAGCCTGCCCTGGGATTGGCACCTGCCACTCCCAGGAGGGAGGACCTAGTGGCTTTCCTCAGAGACCCTACAAGTCTTGGGTGCCCTTTGCTACTATCCCGGTACCTGGTCCATTCCTATCCCTGGTCTCACCTTGTCCATCAGCAGGTGGGCTCCCAGACCCCTGACCAATGAACTGTTTCAGACTCTGGAATAGTGAGTGTGTCATAACAAACCAACCCCCAAATGTATAATGGCACAAACACAACATAATGTCTCTTTCCTGTAAATTCACAAGGGGTAAATCCCTGCTCTACACGCTGGAGAAGTGCCTGGGCACCCGCTACAGGCACTTCTGATTAGTGGGCGGTCTCCTCCAAGCAGTGATTCAGGGACCCAGGCTCCTTCCACCCTGTGGCTCTGTCACTTTCAACACATCGTCCTCAAGATCACTCTGAGGTCTGCATCAAGCTAGCAAAGGATAACGAAGCACAGAGGAGCATGCAGGAGTTTTAGGGGGCCAGGTCCGAAAGCGGCACACACATCCACACATTCCATTGGTCAGAACTTGGTCACGTGCCCCATCTAATTGCATGGGAGTCTGGGAAATGTAGTCCAGCTGTGTGCCCAGGAGGAAGAGGAACTAGGTTTGGTACCCTGCCAGCCAATTTCCACCACAGACTCCCAGCTCCATCTCCACTGCTGGCTTCCCCAGGTCTCTCCCTTCTTTTCCACCCACTCTGGCCCAGGCTCTCCTGACCTCATCCTCCCACCCTGCCCTAGACCCACCACCCTGCAGCCTCACCTGGCCACAAGCGGACACCCAAGAAAAGACCAGTCTCGGAGGTCAGAGAGGCACACAGAACAGGTTTATTCGTCACGAGTTTATACAACCACAGCACAGAGCAAAACAAAAAACTGCAGACGGCTCAGGGTGAGGGCAGAGAGCTTCCACTGCTGCTTTCTCTTCTATCCAGCAGCCTAAGTATAGGCACACATCGGATGTTATACAGTCATGCACCACGTGACGACATTTCGGCCGACAGACTGCATCTATGATGGTCCCATAAGATTAGTCCCATATAGCTAGGGATCTAGTAGGCTATACCATGTAGGTTTGTGAAATACAATCTATGATGTTCGCACAAGGACGAAATCACCTAATGACGCATCTCTCACAATGTATCCCCATCATTCAGCAAGATGTATATGAGGAGCTATGGACCAGCACTTGGTGTAGGCAGAGGCAGAAAGGAGGGTCAGGGGAGAGAAGACCCAGGCCCTGCTGGAGCGGGGTGGTGAGCAAGAGCCACCAAACTCAGGTCTCTCTGTAATGAAGCCACCTCCTTCCTTACCCTTCCCCAGCGCCACCCACCCTGGCTGGTTCCTGTGAGCAATAATAAGGGAGCTCCCACCAGAAGTGCCAGAGGGAAGGGAGACACTGCAAAGAAAAACTATTCTGTCAGGTGGCCTCCGAGTAGGCCCCTGAGACCGACATGAGCCCCATCAGGCCACCTCTCCTTCCTCAGCAGTTACCTGAGCCTCTAATTCCACCAGGAAGGCTACAGCTGTCCCCCCTCTTTCCTTGTGAGAAGCAAATGCCCCTGGGAGAGAAAGGCATTGAAGGCAGGCCAGATGGGCACGCCGGAAGCTCAGCCTCAGCTGAGCCACTGTCCCCTGGCCCAGGCTCACCTGAGAAGGGCGGCCGACAGAAGAGGCCATTCCCTCAAAGCCCCACCCCTTCCTGGCCCCAGCCACCTCTGCACCAGAACGCTGCTCCTCCCCTCGGCGGAGGAGGGGATGCCAGAGGGAAGAAGCTTATTGGGGGTGTGGGGAACTCCGGAAGCCCCTTCCTGAAGGGAAATCCACTCCTGTCCGCAGCTGGGGTCTGGGAAACTGAGATCCAGCCCTGCTCCATCACCCCTCCAGGATGGCCAAGGGGACAAGGACCAAGAGGCAGGGAGGCCTAGGGGAGCCTGGGCTACTGCAGACATGGATAAACAGGCAGACGGTCAGACGGGGGCCGCCGGGTGGAGGCCGCTGGGCAGGGGCCGCCTCTTACTCGCCATCCCAGCCTCGACTCATGGCCTGTACCACGGCCCCATAGAGCCGGCTCCAGGCGGCCCGCACGGCTGGTGTGAAGGCGGAGCCCAGGCACTTCTCCAGCATGTAGAGCAGGGACTCACCCACCGTCTGCAGAGGCAAGGGGCACCTTGTTATTCCCGAAGGCAGGAAAGAGGCTCCATTCCATGGGGGAGAACACTGAGGCCTGGGGCGGGTAGGGACTCCTGGGCCTTTCTGCTCTCCTGCAGGACTGCGCCCCCATCCTTGGGTACCACATTGTGCCCACCTTCCCCCTTAACTGTGAGGCTTTATAGTGAACAGAACCCTTCACTCCACTTTCAGCCTTGCCATCACTCCACGAGTGGCCGAGGCATTGCCTTTGACCTCCCAGCCCAGCCCAAGCAAAGTCATTGCCCCCAGGCCTCAGTCCTCCTCTGCAAGGCAGCAATCATGGTGTTAAGAGCCCAGGCTCTGCAACTAGATAAACCTGAGTTCACTTTCTGACTCCACCATTTATGAGCTGTGTGACCTTGAGAAAGTTATGTAACCTCTCTGAGCCTCAGCTGCTTCATCCGTAAATCAGGGAAAGCAAAAGTCCCAACGCATCAGATTGTTGGGATGATTAAATGAGATCATCTGTAAAAAGCTCCCAGCACAGCCTCTATCCATAAGCCTTCAACAATAATAATGGCTCTCGTTTGTTATTATTTATTGTAATAAAATAAGGTTTACTTATTTCACAAATATTTACTAAATATCCGTTAAAGACAGGCACTGTGCTGGTTCTGGGGACAGAGAGGACAACAAGACAAACTCAGTCCCTTCCTCAAGTTGCTTACCATCCGGCAAGGTGACTGGACTATGTGGTAGACTGTCGTGTCAGTGGCCCCCAGCAACCTCACCTCAAGGATTCATGCCCTTGAGCAGGGTCCTCCCACCTTGACACTGGGCTCACCCGTGCGACAGGCTTCGGCCAATGGGGCATTAGCAAGAGTGACGCAAGCAGAGGCTGGACAAGCACTTGCACACGGGGGCCTGTCCTCTAGGAACTCAGCTGCCACCCTGTAAAGAAACGTGGCGACACTCCCAGATGACAAGAGGCCACAGGGAGAGAGATCCCAAAGGATGACAGGCCGTCTTGGACGTCGCAGCGCCCGCTGAGCTCCCAGCAGAGCGCAGTGCATGCGTGACTCCAGCCACACCACGTGGAACAGGAGAACCACCCTGCTGATCCCAGAGGAATCAGAAATCGTGGTTTTAAGCCAGTTTTGGCGGGGGATGGTTTTATATGCAGCAATAGAAAACTGAGCAGACCAGCTAATCCCAAAGGCTCCTTAACTTTCTATGGTTTGGAGAAATCTGGAGACTCAGAGAGGTCAAGGCAGGGCCAGGATCACACAGCAGGTAAGAAACAGATGCAGGCCCCCAGCCTGGTCATCTGAGAGTGTGGGAATGGGGAAAGAGAACAGGTGGATAGGGGAGGACTGGGAGAGAGAGGTGGCCTCAGGTCAGGAGTGCCAGAGAGCGGAAGATTCCCTTTACCCACCGAGAAGGAGCTGAGCTTCACGCCCACCGCACGGTGCTTCCTGCCCAGGCCAGCAAGGTACTCCTCCAGCGAGGACAGGTCCTCCACGTTGGTCACGGCAGCGTCAATCACAAGCATCACCTGCCAAGGCCGGGGCCGAGGTGAAACAGAAGCCAGAGCAAGCCCCCTCCCACAACCCCAGGCCAGAACCCAGGGACCCCAACCAGACGTAAGAGAGGCCACCAGCACCCTCAGTTTCCCAGGATCAGAAATGCAAAGCAACCTTTGTCTGCATACAGTAGGTGCCGAACACGTGGTGGCCAAACTACTAATGTTACACGTAAAGGAAGCCCCTCTCGTCTGAGGGCTCAAAGCCCTAAACATGCCTGCTGGACACTGGTGTCTGCCTGGGACCAGAGGAAACTGAGGGCCTGTGGGCATCACGAGCCTCCAAGAAAATCCCAGCTTGGTTCTCATAGGCAGAAGACCCCTCGTGGGTCAGCGCCAACACCACCTACAGAAGCCAGGGGACAAGGCCGAGGGAAATGACAGCGCTGGGATAAGCTGCTGAGCGCGGGGTTGGGAAAGGGCTGGCTGGAGCCCCCGACTGGGCCGGCCCGGCCCGAAAGGAGCAGACGCCCCCCGACGGACGTAGGGCCTGGGGCAGAAGTGACTCCCGCTCTCCCGAGGCCCTCATTCTCTCCCAGGAAGGCGCCCTCCTGGACCCCAGAGGCCACCGGGCTTGGTCTTCCCCTCACCTTCCTGATGTGGTCCAGGAACTCGGGGGAGGAGAGGCAGTCCTCTGGGCTGGAGAACTGGCGGCAGTTGTACTGGAAGAGGGGCAGCAGGTCGGGCTCCAGGTCAAACAGCCTGTGGGGAGAGGCCCGGGTGTCAGCCCCGGTGCCAGCCCCTGCAGGGGCGGGACGGGGCCAGTGTCAGCCATAAACTATGGCACACCCTCCAACCTGGCACTGACCCCTTTGCCAGCTTTGCTGGCGCCCCTTTCTCGCCTCCTCCGCTGGCATCCTGGAAAGAGCTGGGTGTCCCAGGCCTCTCACCGGACCCGGCATATAGTAGCCCTCCACGAACAGTTAAGGGGTGTGGACTGGGACGGGAAGGGTCCTCAGACAGGAAGCCTGGAGTTACACTGTGGGGAGAGGAAAACACCTCTCTCTCTCTCCCCCTCACTCTCTCCCCACCCCTCCCACTCTTGAGTCAGAACTTCCCAGTCTCATCATGTCTGAGGGGGCTCCAGCCAGGGATGATAGTAATAATATTAAGAACTACTTACACTTAACTGAGCATTGAGTATTTTACACGTGGTTAACTCGTGTATTCCTCACGATCCTAAGCAGTGGGTTCAACTGTTATCACAATTTTATAGAGGAGGAAACAGAAGCCCAGAGAGGTTAAGTAACTTGCCTAAGGTCACACAGCTCGGGAGTAGCAGAGCCCCAGAGGGTGCCTGAGAAAACAGAGGGCTTGAGGAAAGCCTGGAGGCACAAGCAGAAGCCCTCAGCCACATCTGGGAGAGCTCACTGAGTTTTTGTATAATGGGGAATTTATTCCTCTTTTGTTTGCGGGGGAGGTTTTGCAAAAGGCTCCTCAGAAGTTCTGGGCTGGCTTAGGGAGTCAGGGGTCCTGAAAAACCACGGTGAAAGAGAGAGTTGGCTCTTTGGTGATGGCAGAGGGGGTCACCCAGAGACCCTCAGCCAAGGTTGAAGACCGGCCTCCCCTTCCCACTTGCGCTCTGCGCACCTGCTTTACCCCTCTCCCCAGGGGCGAGCCTTGGCCATCTGTCCTCCCGTCCCTGGCAGTTCTCTGATTCTAGCCTGGTCCTTTCCTCGGAAAGATTTATCCTTTCTTCGGAAAGATTTATCCTTTCTTTGGTTGCTGGAAGCGCACACTCCTGGGGCTCAGACCCCGAGCCCCGCCAGGCGCCCGGCACCCTCCCCGCACCGGCCCTCGGGGCACCTCCATCTCCCCGAACTGGCAGCGGCGCGCACCCCTGCAGTCAACACCCAAGAAACAAACACACGCGAGGCACAGCGGCGGGGAGAGGGCGCAGCGGGGACCGGCGCTTGCTGGCCCGAGTGTACGCAGCTCCGCCCGAGAAGACCCCCGCCGGCCCCCAGCGAGCCCCGTTGGGAGCGGGATGTGCAGCGCTCGCTCGCAAGACGCGCTCTCCTCCAGGGGAAGAGAAGGGGCTGCGCCACCCGTCGCTGGCCCTGCTCCTCTGGCGCACATCTGGAGGCGCCCCGGAGCCAAGGCAGCGGGCCAGTGTTCCCTCCTCCGGTGCCGGTCCAGCCGCCTGGAACCCAGTCCTGCCGAGGCACCCCGCCACCCGCACCCCGGGGCGCTCGGGCCGCCCTCACCTGGCGAACAGGACGGTGCCGTGCTCCAGCGGGCTGCGGCTCACCACCCGCCAGCTCTGCCGGATCAGCTCGGGCTCGGGGCGCTCCATGCTCGCCCGGGGACGCGGGGCGCAAGGCCGGGACCCTCGGGGCGCGGGCACCGTCACGGCACGTGCCGCGCCATCTCCACGGAGACGTGGGCCCCTCCGCACCCCGTGCGGCCCCCGCGCCTCGGCCGGGCGGGGTCCAGCAACCGCTCCTTCGCAGCCCTCGGTGCCGGCGCCCCCGCCGTGCCGGCCCAGCTGGCGCTTCCGGGGGACCCCGCTCCGGCCGCCGGCCCTGCGCCCCGCGCCTCCGAGAGCGCCCCGCCCCGCGCCGCCCGGCTGGGGCGCTTTAAAGCACCCGCGGCCCCCGCCCCCTCCCGTCCATCAAGGCGCGCATCTTTGGGCAACGGCTCTGGCCGGGGACGACCTGGTGGCATGGGAAATGCACGGGCTTTAGAGCTTAACAGACATCGTCGAGCCTCTCTGGGCCTCAGTTGCCTCCCCTGTGGAAGCTGGTGATAACTTACCGCCTGCTAGTTAGGGCAGCGTGTTGAATGTGATCGCCTCAGCCAGGCTCTGCAGGAGCCCCGTCTCCAGAGGCCCCTCAGACACGGCCTGGAGGCATGAGTTTGCCAGCCCCTTGGCACAGGGTCTCCTTCCTTCTGCCCCGAGGGTGGACCAGGGGATGCCAGGGCGCCTCCCTGTGTGACTAGGCAGAGGCCGGGGGACCCTCTGCTCTCACCCTGGCTCTGGGGGCCTGGGCTGGGGGCCACACGTGTGCTCAGCCTTAGGGACAGGGCCAAGACCGTGGCCCTTTCCAGCCTGGCTTGGGTTCTCCTGAGACCTCATCTGTGAGCGCCAGGTCTGACCCGAGTCTGCTTGGTGGGTGGGGCCTCAGGCGGAGCAGCCAGGAGCACTGCACCACCTGGACATGGAGGGAGTTAGGCTGGAACATTCTACTACGCTACAATTAAACTTTTTTAAAAGTTTAAATAGAAGTACTCTTTATTACTTTAAATCGAAGTTCTGGTAACAGAATCTCAAGCTTGCCATCCGGCGTGTGAAGTTGGTCACCTGTCAACTCGACCTAAACCTCTCTCTTTCAAGCATCAAAGTTCCTCCAGCCCCAGCCCAGTTCTGGTGGGCATGTTTGGAAGAGCAAAACCCTCATTTATCTTTCATAATCTCACGTCTCTGAGCCTATCTCCCCTCGGTCTGCCCTCTGCTCTCTTTCCGTCTCCTCAGTGGTGCAGTAAGGGGGCTGGTAGCAAGGTCTCTGGACCTCCGGTGGTGCCACAGATACAAGGTGGGAGTTCGGGGTTATGAACAGGCTGAGGCTCCATGCCGCACCCTGTGCTAGGCGTGGAGCATTGAATCCTTGCCTTCTAGAACTTCTCCTTCTGGCCCTGAATCAGGACTGAGGGCCCGGGCAGAACACTTCTTTCCCGCTCGCAGCCAAGCCCAGTGAAACCGTCCAGCTGTTCTCCTCTTCCAAGGACTCAGGATTTTGGAGTACACCCTATTCCTCTCTTCCCCATCTCCCCACACATCTCTGGGGGCTCTGGGCTGGAGCAGGAGCAGACTGTAAGGCAGCCTGGCTTGTGTCCTAAAGAGAGAGGTCCCCAAGTAGGAGCGCGACGGGACTGAGGGCTGAAGGAGGAAGGCCAGGGTACTCAGGGACTAGACTTCCAGTTTGGTATCCTGGGCCCTGCAGCCAGGTCAGCAGGTCACAGGGGAGAGGCCACATATGTCTCCAGTGACCTTTACCTTTCAGTGCCCAGATGCCTGGTGCTCCGTGCAGGCCAGCTGGCTCGTCTAAGGCTTCCCACTCCACCGTTTGCCCTTCCTGGCTTCAGTCTACACCTGGGACTCTAAAATCTCTGCTCCGCTTGGAGAAAAGCCCTGAGAATCTGGCTGGGCCTAAGCAGTCAGGGTGGTGTATTCCAACCAGGAGATGGAGGGTCTCAGTCCACATTTGAGGGACTCCCCTCCCCACCTGGCATCTGCCTGAGACTTGGGCAGGAGGTTCTAATCAATCTCTGTCTAGAGCCAGTGCTGTCATCGAGGTCCATGTCTCATCAACAATACAGAGCTGGCATTTATGGAGCATTCTTGTCCAGACACTGTGCAAGGCACTTTGCATCATTAATTCTTTTCATCCTCACAATAACTCTATGAAGTAGGTACTGTTATTATACCCTTGCTTTACTGTTGAGGAAACGGAGGCAAAGAGGTTAAGGAACTAGCCCAAGGTCGCAGAGTTAATAAGTGGTGGGGCCAGGATTTGACCTCAGGTCTGACTCCGGCCCATCCTCTAGGTCGCCATGCTCCACTGCCTCCCTCACTTTAATGGACTGTGACTGAGAGCTGTCTCCACAGCTCAGAGAAAGCCAGGTCCCTGGGCCTGGGTCAATGGTATACTGGCACTGGCTTTTAGAAGGCTTGTGAGAGGCAAATGCGTGCATCTCTCAGTGACACCAGGTTAGTAGCAGGAAACGGCCATGGTGAGAGTATTTACACCATGGAAATTGGCAAATACTATAAATCAGGGCTTTTTTCCTCCCAGAAAACGGCTGGTCCAGGTGCACCTGGAAACACCGGGCCCTAGATGAGCTGTCGATGTGTTAAAGCAGAATGTACAAAGGAACATGCTGAATCTGGGCACCCCTGAACTGAGTCCAGGCCTCCTCCCCAGGGGACCCAGGGCGGCCAGGTTGTGCTGGGAGGTTCTTCTAGTCCCGGGACCAAGCTGGAGAAGCAGAGAAAGGCCAACTTGGTGCCTAGTTCTGGCTCTACTATGTACTAATCATGGGACCTTAGGCAAGTAATTTAATCTCTCATGGGTAGAATGGGGTCAAAAACAGCATTGACTGCACGGGGCCTTTATGAGGATTAAGGGTCACGGCTGTGTCGAGACTTGGTAAACGAAGCCGCGCCAGTCACGAAGTGTTTGGTCCTTTTCTAACCTGCCTATGCTGGGCATTTCTCACCTGCTGAAGATGTGCATGACCTCTCCGCCCCCACCTCCAGCTGCTCTTGGTCCTGAGGGGGAGGGGGAGTCAGGCAGCCCAGAAGACCCCCAATTTCACAGTGCAGTGCCACTCCTCTCCCCTCCCCCCCACCGTCCAACAGAAGTCTGCTCTTACCTCCTTTGGACCCCAAACCTCATGGCTGGTAACAGAAGACCCCTGTCACGACAGGAGTCTCAGGTAAGCAGAAGGGACGCTGCTACGAAGCTGGGCCACTCAGCTGTCTCAGAAGGGACAACTGTGACTCCCTCTCACTCCTTTCTATACTTGCATGGGCAGGTTAAAAGAGAAAAAAGTAAGGTCCAGCTTCCTACTTATTTTGGAATAAGTTTAAGTAAATCAAAATAATAACCAATGTTACTCAAGTAACCTCGCACCTGGGAGGGCCCCATGCCCCCCGGTGATCAGGCGCACCTGCGCAGCCCAGGGCCTCTGCTGGGATTAGAATGGCCTCAGACTCAGACACAATGGGAAGGTTCTAGCAGTCAAAACATTCTCCTCTTCTTTCTGGGAGCCAGAGGGCAAGTCAGATTCAATTAAGTACAAAAAGAACAACACAGCATTGAAAATAAGAGCTATTTATTACAAAAGTAAATGGCCTCTGATTATCTGTGGAAATTTTTTTTTAATATAAAATGTGGCTCAAGAAGCTGTCTGGAGGTTGGGCTAACAAATGTCTTCTTTCTCCACCAGCACATGTGTGGGGCATGTCACATTTCTGCCAGGTCCTGGGGGCTGGAGTCCATTTTCAGAGCACCACACCAGCCCCTCTCCCCAGCATCTCCCAACAACAGAATCTGAGCACTGGAAGCTGCATCAACCCATGTAGCCTTGTCCCCAGAGAAGTGGCTGCCAGTCTAGGCAGGGAGGAAGAGGGGGAAGTGGACAGAAAATTCTCCCATCCTTGGAGAGCAGTGGAAGAGACAGAGGAACCCTTGGTCCCCAGGGTGGCCAATTAAGAGGGCGGGAGGGGCAGAAAGCCGGCTGAGCTTTCGCCTTCCTCACCCTCAGAGTGGCAGTCCCTCTGTCTCCTTCAGAGCTCCTCCCTTCCAACAAGATCCTATTAAGAAATAAGAAGGCACAAGGGAACATCAGCCACCTCCTGGGTGTCATTGTGGGCCATTGCTCTTTGCTCAGAGCCAAGCACAGATTCCTGCATTCTACCTGCAGGAGAGCCCACCCAGATGGCCGCCCCCACCCAGCTCAGAAGAAACCAACTCTGCCTATGGGGCGGAGGGGAGGGAAAGCGGCGGGATGGAAGGGGTGAGCAGAGCTTCTCCATCCCTGCTCTCCTTCCCTTCCAGAAATGCAATTAAAGCAAGCAGCCCAGACTCAGCACACAGGCAGCGCTTCCTGCTGGGGGAAGTCAAAAGGACTGTAGCCCAGGGAGAGGAGGTCATCAGGCCCCAGATCTAATTAACAAACCTGCCTTGCTTTTGACATTGCTGCATTTCCTCTATTAACATTAATGATGGTAGGTCTGAACATCCAAGCATGGCCAGAAGCTTCCCTCCTCACCACCCAGTAGGTAGCACAGCCTGTCCCTGGGACCAATTTCTAGTCTCCGTGGCAACCGCCTCCCGAAGATGCTGTAAAGAGCTCTGACCCTGTCAAGAGTTGGTGTGGGCTACAGAGGAGGGAAGATGGAGTGTGGCAGAGATTCATCATTAACCCTGAAGCATCACAGTCCTCCGAGACAAAATAAATATTTTGTCATGCATTGGGAGGAGGGAGGCCAGCTGAAGGGCGGGCCTTGGGTTGGTCTGGGTCTGACCCAAGGGTTTTCTTAATCCCTTTCATTTGGGGAGGAAGTGAAAGAAACAGCTCTGAGCCTCTTGTTTGGGCTTCAAGGTGGTAGAAAGTAGAAGCTGATGCATTTCCAGATGCTCTGGGTCTCTGGGGAAAAAGAGATTGGCAGAACAGTGACACAGAGAAAGGAAAATGAAATGGCGTGACAGGGAGTATCAGAAGGGAAGGACTAGAGAAGCAAAAATGGGGAATGCCTAGCAAGTGACAGGAACATGAGCCCAGACTGGCAGGAGCAGTCCACACCCCAGCACCCCACTGGGACCCCAGCCCAGCCCACACAGACCCCTGCTCTGCCGCACATCTACCTCAAGTGCTAAGAAAGGGGCCCCAAAGGCTCTCCCAGCCATCAGGAGAATGCATCTGTCCCATCCTCACATCAGGCTGGATGCAAAGGGAAAGGGATGGGCAGTGAGAAACCACCTCTGGCACGCAGGGCCCGGGAACACAGAGCAGCCAAGGATAGGATGCCACTC